CATCCTTCCATAGATTTCTGAGTTGCTTGCTAGTTGCGATATGCCCTCCTTGGCACTTTTTACCATTTTTTTCCGAGTCAGCTGCAATTGATGGATTATAGAGACTAAGAATCCAGATTGATGGGAATCATACAACAATCAGAGGAATAGTTTCCAATTGTACGATGTTTAACCTGCCGTTTGAGAACTGCAAGGCTCTTGGTGTGCATGGGAGACAGCGGAAGGACCCCATTTGAAGGTGGAAGTCCCAGCAATCCACAAATCAAAGTCTGAAACCAAGATTGACAAGAAGCATTTAAGCTTGATATTATTACGAAATATATATATAGTGCGAGGAGTACGAAGAGAGAATAGATCAGAAGAATCAGTCAAGTACCATAACACCTAGCGATAAGATATCATAATGGTAAGCAGTAGGATTTTTAAGGTTGAACTCCTTTTGTTGTGCCAACTGAGAAGCAACACTGTGATCAAAGAAGTAAAGACCTGCTATCATTACAGGTGGTATTAAGGCAGCAAAGATGTACATTATTGGTACCTTCCCCATATCCTGTAACAAGACAGTTTAGATCTTCAACAAGTATTCCTACATTTTAACCTAAGGTTATGAATTTTAGAGACGGTTTGATTATAAGATATCGACAACATAAGATCTCCGGAAAGGGAACAGATAAAGGATCCATAACTTACCTTTATCACTGTCCAATGATGTAATGATTCAGGTTCCCAAAGAAGTGGACAGAACAACCTCCTGGGAACTCCAGAACTAAATTGTTGAGGTATCGTGCGACAATGCCGTCCAGCTCAAGATCATAAGAGGAACCCGTAGTCTGCGAGAAAACCTCGAAGCCAACCTGAAAGCAAAGACATTAAAAACAAGATATAAAGCAGAGAAAAGAGTTCCACAAATCAGTAAAATCTCAGTTAGTGAGCTCATGTACCTGTTCCGTAACACCATAACCTCACCTTCCGCATCTTTAGGGAAGTAAAGAGAACCCCAAATGAGAAAATGACTGCAAACAAGCCATTTGTATATAGCCAGGGGAACTGATAGTTCTCCAATTTAGGATTGTCACCTCTGGGAACATTGAATTCACTGATCACTCCCTGTGGTCCAAACATCAAAATTATCAAGGTTAAACCACATGATTCTGTCATCATAAACATCACAACTCTTTTCTTGCATTATTCATTTCAATACCTTAACAGCCTCTTGAAGGAAAAGGACAGCTATTAACATGCCAAAAAGATCTCCTGCAATTCTTGTAAATCTGGTGATTATGGTACATGCATTGAATATAGCAAGAAGAATGAGCAGCAGAGCTGTCCATACACAGACCCTTGGAAACAAAACAAAAGAAACAAAATCAAACAGCAAGAACATTTCAACTAAATCAAGAATCTTGAAGAATGCTGAATAATGATCTTAAAATTATACGATAACTCGTTACCATGCAGTCCAAGCCAAAAAGAGTTCCTGGCCTAACTCAGGCCTCCCTTTGCAGAAATTGTACAAATAAGTGTACATTATAATTGTTGGCTCTGCAACACCTACTATCAACAAAGGCTGCCCACCCAAAATGGAGTGAATGAATCCACAAATAGCTGTCGAAGCCAAAGTTTCCACCGTGCTGAGGGCACCATCTGAAACAAGAAAAACGAAAGCAATCTTAAGGTTTATTCATGAAAAGTCATAATAACGAGTTCTTGGCACAAATATCCGACATTAATAATGTTCGAGATAAGATGATTTGAATCGAAGTAGCCTCATCTTATATCATACTGAAAGTACCTGTATCTCGACTCAGTTGCTCTCCAAAGGCAATGACAGGAAGAGCAGAAGCAAAGAAGATAATAGAAAGTTGGAGCAAATATCCTGGAAGAAATGCTAGTTGAAATATGAATCAAAATCGAGAATATTTTCACCAGAGGAACATAATGTAGTGTCGAAAACATCAAAACGAAGAACATACCGAAAGCCTGAGCAAAATCCATTGACCCAATCTTACTTGTAGCACTTGCTTCTTCCCTTTATGTCTTTGATTATCCCCTTGAATGGACTTCTCATGTTTCCCATAACTGATTCACCAGAAAAAAAGGGGTTTAACATAAATATTATATGCTACAATGACAGCAACACTTGTATCCAAAACATAGGCAAAACAGTGCAAAGTGTCTCTAGGAAGTTGGTAAATCACACGATGACAGAAAAAATGGTTTTTTTTCCTTTTTTACGGATTTAATTTTAACTTACCAAAACAATCAATGTTAAATTGGTTAAGAGTAGAACCCATCGGTCGGTTAAAGTATGGAATTGATCAATTGAATTAAGGTTTTTTTTCCTTTTCTTAACTTTTTAAGCAAACTAACCAATTTGTCCTCTATATCCAATTTTAGGTTAAAATATCAACTTATTTCTTTGTTTCCATGCTTGCCATCGTTCATAACCAAATCATTAACCAACAGCTTATCATTCGCATAAACCATGTTGAACCCAAGTTTGACTCTTTTTTTTTATCAAATTATTTTTTAGATCTAATATTTTTATTCAAAACTCTTTCAAAATTCAGACATACTTTCCGGTATACATGACCCTTAAATAAGTCTAGATATATGTAGGTAGGAGTATAAATGGACAGCATGTTTGATGAACTGTTCGTGAATCGTTTGTATAACGTTCGTTTATTAAGTTAAATAAACGAATATGAACAAAATTTTTATGTTAATTTAATAAATGAACAATCACGAACAAATGTGCGTTCGATTCATTTATATTCACGAACAAGCTCGTTTATTGATTTGTTTACTCGATTCTCCTTTTTCTTCTATTTTTTTTACATTTTGAATATCAATGAAGGTAATGATTAAATTGAACATATGATGAACTTTAGAGTTCAAACTTTGAAGTTTAAGGAGCTTGAGGATTAGTTGTGTAATTTCACCATTTTTCTTATAGTTTACAAATAAAAGATCAAAAGTAGAGTGTTGGTGGTGAAACGTTAAACGAATATGTTTGCGAACGATAAATAAATCAAATACGAATATAAACATGAACATATTAAAAATAAGAGAAAATAACCTCAGTGACAAAAAATGCCTTATAATATATGATTTTAATCAACTTTTTTTGGATTTGCCAAAATGACCAACTAAATCGCAATGCGATCAATAATTTGCAACGCGATCTCCGGTATCGCAAATCAGTTTCTAGATTCGCAACGCGAACATCGACCATCGCAACGCGAACTTCGACTATCGCAATGCGATTTTCCAAATTCGTTGCGATTTATTCCAAATTCGTTGCGATAGTCCAAGTTCGCGTTGCGATAGTCCAAGTTCATTGCGATAGTCGAAGTTCGCGTTGCGATTTATTCCAAATTCGTTGCGATAGTCCAAGTTCGCGTTGCGATTTATTCCAAGTTCGTTGCGATAGTCGGAGTTCGCGTTGCAATTTATTCCAAGTTCGTTGCGATAGTCGAAGTTCGCATTGCAATTTATTCCAAATTCGTTGCGATAGTCCAAAATCGCAACGACTAGTGGTATTGCATTTGTTTCTTAAGAATTTTCTCTAAAAAGATAGTATTCGTGCGGACGTGTCGAAGACACGTATTACGTTTACTATTACTATTATCACGACCACGACCACGACCACGACCACGACCACGACCACGACCACGACCAGAGACGAGACGAGACGGACGGCAGCGGCGGCGGCGCGCGAGAGTCCTCCTTGTTCTCTATCACTCAACAAGGAAGTGGGAAAGCCAAGCCTTAAATATCATTCCCAATAGTGTTTCCAATACTATGTGGGATTGAGCCTTAAATAGTGATATTATTTGTGAATTATAGTTCATGACTTTAGTATTTGTATAAAAAGTATTTGTGGTTTATTTAGTTTTCATGCAATTCTAATTTATTTTCAATTGATTTTAATTGCACGATAACAATTTTTTTTATTCTCGCGAGTGATGCAATTTTTTTTTGAATGTTTTGCTTAAAATTGCAATAATCACGATTGATTGTAGATTGACTTTTAATTATGACATATTTAATCATATATTACTAATGCAATTGGTTGCTGATTCAGTTGTTTTAAGGTGCATGATTTTTAATTGTTTCCTGAATAATCACATAGTTTTGGAAACGAGTGTTGGTAATGCTCAATCTCACATAGTATTGGAAATACTATTGGAATGGTATTTAAGGCTTGACTTTCCCACTTCCTTGTTGAGTGATAGAGAACAAGGGGGACTCTCGCACGCCGCCGCCGCCGCCCGTCTCGTCTCGTCTCGTATCGGGTCGTGGTCGTGGTAATACGTGTCTTCGACACGTCCGCGCGAATACTATATTTTTAGAGAAAATTCTTAAGAAACAAATGCAATACCACCAGTCGTTGCGATTTTGGACTATCGCAACGAATTTGGAATAAATCGCAACGCGAACTTCGACTATTGTAACGAATTTGTAATAAATCGCAACGCGAACTTGGACTATCACAACAAATTTGGAATAAATCGCAACACGAATTTGGAAAATCGCAACACGAACTTGGACTATCGCAACGCGAACTTGGACTATCGCAATGTGAATATGTAAATCGCAATGCGATAGTCGAAGTTCGCGTTGCGAATCTGGAAACTGATTTGCGATACCGGAGATTGTGTTGCGAATTATCGATCGCATTGCGATTTAGTTGGTCATTTTGGCAAATCCAAAAAAAATGGTTAAAATCGTATATTATAAGGCATTTTTGGTCACTGAGATTATTTTCTCTATAAATAAATACGAACATAATTTATTTACATAGGGTGGGAGATTTGGGCTTAGGTTGAGGCTAGCCCAGTTTTGAAATGTTAGTTGTCCAGTCTAATCTGGTGAACTGCAACGTGCTTCACCTAATTAATTGGGAGACTAAACTTAACTACCAAATTCCAACAAGCTCACTTGTGCTCAGCTTAACCACATATTATTATGAACATCAATATCAACCATATACACACCAACAAGAGATTAGGACGGAGACCAAGTTTCAAGCTTTCATTTGATTGAACGATGCTGTGATAATCCACAAAAAACATGGTGGCAACAAGATCGGTGGGAGGCACTATTCCCCAGATTCAGGGTCGGAGAATGCCTGTCCAAATCACAACTATTACCAGTCTTTCTCATCGTTAGCATCACCATCTATTCCAAGGCAGCAGCAGAAGGGGGTGTTCGTTTGCAGAGCTGAAGCATCGGCGACGGCGCTGGAGCAGAGTGGAGGGGGGAAGATGGTGGTAGAGCTGGTGGGGGCGTTCAATCAATTGACATAGGAGATCAACGTGTTATCCAGCAGCTCCTCTCGTTTGCTCTTCAAGTCTCTCAAGCTGTCCATTCCCATGTTGCAGGCCTTGCCTCATGCTCCTGATGGCCGCCCTCGGCTCTCTAAGGCCTTGTCTCTCGCTCTACTTCATGCCCATCTCCAGGTAACCTTCTACGTTTTATTTCCATCGAGAGAATTTTGATGAATAGTTCATGGATAATTTGATATTTATGTTCGTTTATTAAATTACATACGTTAACATTAATAGGATTTTTGAGAATTGAATTGAATTTGAAGGGTCATATGTTCAGTTCATCATTATTTGTGTTTTTATTTGTTATGAAACCGTTATATTTTCGGAAACGGCCTCCGTAAACCTCTCCAAACTTTCGACTAACCTATATCCTCTGTACATAGGTTTTTGGTTAACTATAGGCATAGATAAGGCATCAGACATATAAACCCTATGACACACTCACGTAATAAACCAGAACAAATTACAAAGTGTGATTGCTAGACTATTTAATTTGCTAGGTTATGATTAGCCATCATAATTGTACGGCCGACACATGCACTAAATTTATTATAAATACCACTCTACACGGTAGAAGAAAGGGCGGGTACCTTTAAAGATCACCCTTCTCCTTCTTCCTTCTTCTTCCTCTTTTTCATGATCGTCCTTCTGCATTACCAAAGCATCAATCAACAGCCGTTTCAGTCTCACCGGCCACAACTCTCCACCCAAATGAGAAGAGGTGAACCGCTCACAACCAACAAGACCAACTTATTCTTATCAACATGAATAAAATTTTATTATTTTCTATCTAAATATATATATATATATATATATATATATATATATATATATATATATATATGTATATGTGTTTATATATATATTATTTAAATTTGTTCCTTTATTGTTCGGTAATTTGTTTCATGAGTATGTTTGCAAATATGTTCGTCAATATTCACAAACAAGTTCATTTAATTTAGGAGAATAAACACAAATACACATAATTTTAATTGAATGAACACGAAAAGAATTCAAGATTGATACACTTACATCCCTAGGTCCGGAATAGATATGACAGAAGCAGGGGAAAGAGTATGCTATAGGGCACATGAAATTGTTCAATCAATATGGAAAGAAATACCTCATAGAACAAAAGACTATATTGCAAGGCCGAAAGAAAATGGGTATAAGAGTTTGCATATGGCAGTCGATGCGAGTGACGATGGCACGACTCGACCGCTTATGGAGATACAAATACGAACAACCGAAATGGACTCTTTGGCCACTGGTGGAACTGCTGCTTATTCATTGTACAAAGGTGGCTTAACTGATCCAGAAGAGGCGTGCATCGAGACCAGTCATTTATCAACATTAGTGATGGTTATTTCTCTCTTTAACATAGTTTAAAGTAATCGGCCGAATTTTATTTTTTCCAAAAACAGGTAAAATGGTTATTTTAGTTTTGAACTAACAATTGCTACTTACACTCCTAATGCTAAATTTCACCAAAAAATATGGTGTTGAACTAATCGGATGATCTTTCTGATGAAAAAATCGGTGTATGGCTGTTACACTTGTTTTTTATTTTCTTTGTAAATGTGGTTCCTTTAACACCTGCAGGTGGAATTTATGCGTAATAGCAAAGCAAGGATGGCCAGAGCCAGTTCCCAACTTGCTTGAAAGGCAATGACCAAACCAGTGACGGCAGTGACCTACTCTTGAGCGGAACCAGCTAGTCCGCGACCACCCTTCTTACTGAAACTGCATCCGTTGACAGCCTAGTTCTGATTGCACCACTTGAGTGTTGAGGCTCATTGAACCAGCCTATATCCATGTTCACTTTCTCATAGCACATCGAACGCACCTACCGTATCAACTTACAGCCGGCAATGGCAAATAAGTACGTGCTCACAAGTAACACAACAACAAATATCCTTGTTGAGCTCATGATGTGACTCGGAGATAGTTTTGATTATGCCGGAAAGAACAGTGCCAAAAATCAGCAATATTACACTGTTGGCCACGGCCAGTACAGCTCCCAAGAGCAACTCTGGTATCTCCAAGCAGTTAAGATTTGAGAGTAATAATTGGGACTTGTGGATGCTGTTTGTCGAAGGTTTCTGGTAGTGGTTTCAGGCTAGACGAAAGGGAGCCAATATTGATTGGGGACCAATATCTGAAGAACCATGAACTTTTATATTTCGTTTCATCTCTTTGCCGTTTTCTTGCAACCTTAGGAGCCGAGTGTACAATCCATTACAGTTCTTGAGTAGCTCTGCTTGTGAACCTGACTGTTTAATCCATTCACAGGTTTAAAAAGACGGCACTGGCACTAAAACTGACCTCTTTCGATGATTTTTCCATGGTGAATGACTGCTATGAAATCTGCATTCCTTATGGTGCTCAAGTGATTGATCCAAGGAATACCCTTCTGTCAAAGACTAAGTCTTTAAGAACGATGAACCAATGTCGATTTTGAGAAAGTGTTTGATAGAACGTTTGCAGGCTGCTGTTGATGGGGAACTGAAGCAAGATCAGATGATGAAGGGGTTTTCATTTTCAGATGTATGGAATTCGATGAAGTATATGACCCTCATACAATTAAGAACCGTATAGAATGATTCATCATATTGGGATACTGACAGTGGAGAAGACAACATGCTCGAGGGCGATGACCGGTACACTATAACCATGGTGGAGGAGAAGCTCGAAGAGAACCGGCTGAAAACCACAACAAAATCATGGAAACCAAAGTACGGAACGATACATAAGAAGTTTCAGGAGAGCTTTTGATATGCAAGAGATTGTGATTTGGAACCTCAAAAGCTCACATGCAATATCTGTGCCATGCTCATACACTAATAAAAGATCAAAGTTTCCAATTTACTGTGTTCCAAAATACAAAATCGATAAGTTAAAAGTAAAGATACATTAACAACAGTATAATCTTATCCAAAAGCAGTACAACTATTTCTTTTTCTTACCCCCACCAGCCTTAAGCTTTCTATTAGTACTTTCTTTAGCTGTTTTCTCGGGTTCCTGTCACAGCAATGAGAAAAAAATCATGTAGGCCACAAAGTCGATGCATAATCAACTCCCGAATTCAAATTGTAGAGAGAAAGAGAGTAATGACGGCATTGTCGTGATCGAGTAATTAAATAAATAATTTAACAAGTGATACCTCAAAACAAATACAATTATGGCTTACATCCCAAGAGAAGAATGAAAAAAAAAAAACTAAAACACAACATGGAATGAGAAAATAATACGAAAGAAACATGAATTGTTAACATGTAACCTTGCTCTAACACGAATTCTTAGAAGTGCCGAGGCCTACATAACACCTTTAACACATCATTATAAAAGAAAAGAAGACATAAATATAATGATTGCCGAATCCAGTTTTCAGCTTCATGAGCGAAGTAGAGACACCCCTTGAAAATACCACTGAGTGCTTGAAATACAACCCCAGTGGTGGCTTTCTAGCAATACCCTTGGGCTTGGAACGATTACAAACTAGTGGAGAGAATATCTTAGAGCTTAGCATTGGTTAAGGAAATAAATGCATGCATTTGGTTCCTTGCAAGTTGCAAACAAGTGCACCGAGAAATTATAAAAACCAATCAATCTAGACACAAGCATCAAAGAGTGTATTACCTTCCATACTTTCCCCTTTATAAAGATTATCTAACACCAAATATATTTCTCAAAACTTTAAAAACAAAACAAAAACCAACCTTTTGTACTTTCTATCAATAAAATAAAAATCTTACAAAATAATAAAACCCCACATGTGACAAACTAAATTATGAAAGGCCAAGCAGTTTAGTTCATTGCAAGTAAACAATAACTATATGTACCAAACAAAAAAAACCATTAATGCAGATTCAAAAGAAAAATAAAGTAACATGATATATGTGATGCAACCAGTCAAAACATATAAAAATGTAAATACACAAGCCACCAGGTAAGAGAAGAGAACAATATAGTGACAGTTAATCAAAATGCATAGTGGAGCTATACCTTCCGTTTAACTGGTGCAGATGTGTTAGCAACTGGCTTAAAAAATGACTCTAATCTGGAAAGAGAAGGGTATAAGACATAGTAAGCATTAGCATAAAAACTTATAACGTCGTTTTATGTAACTACGTGTTACTTACCGGCCTTGTGAGGACTTGTTCTTAGCTGCTTTAATTTTCTCTATTCCCTAATGAACAAAAGAAATAAACATAATCAGATGATTATAAAAGTTTGAGTAAATAAGAGAGGAAATACCTTCATTACTCTGTCAATATTGAATCCATTTTCATTCACCAGAAAGGTTATCAACCCCTGCAAAAAAAATTGACAAATTAATGCAGCTGCATTGAACTTGAAAGATGGTTACACATTGCTCAGAACAATATATGTAATTAGGATAGGGATTACGCACTTCAGTATCTGGAGCACTCCACTTCAGATCAAGTTGCTCATCATCCATGCAGACTAATGGTTCTTTAAAAAGCCGACGAACCTCTTCATATGGCCAATCATCAGGTATTGTGTACCTGAATATGGAAAATGTTTTTATTAATGTTAACTAAAATTAGTTAGTACACGAAGGAAGATGTACGAATCATTTCACAGCACATATAATCAATCCAGACCTCTCTCTGTTTATGTTCTGGAGTATTTGCTCTATAGACCCATGTTGACGAATAAGCTTCAAAGATGTCTGTCCGCCAATACCTGGGCATAGCTTCAGAATGAAATCATATACCAAATACATAACCTAAATTTTAAGACATAAAGGTCAGACACGCTATAAAGGAAACGCCCACATACCTCGAATACATTCACAATAATCACATCCAGAAAGAATGCACAAGTCAATGAACTGATCCATGGTAAGGTTCAGCTCCTCCAGAACCTAACACATCTCCCCATTAGAAAAGTAAACCCAAAATCAATATGGTACATAAGTAAAATGCTTAAAGCATCTTTGCAACATCAAACTCCATGACTGGAACTTTTCTGGTGCTCGGGTCCATTAAATGTCGAAGAAATTTAGGAGTTCCAAAAGTTAAAGAGTCCATGTCCTCAGAAGCCACAGCATAAACCTGATAAATAAGAAGGCATGATTTCAACACCTAAAGGAAGTAGGTCATCAAAAACAAATGGCGCAAATAGTGGAAATTAAAATAGGCTGCTTCTTAAAATGGTATTAGAAAAAAAAATTAACTTTTTCAATCTCATAAAGGTAAATAGGGTTATTTGCATGTCCATTTTCGGGACTGATGAACCACTAGACAAACAACTTATCATTATCAACTGGACACTTGCCTTTCCAGATTTGCAGAGTGCAGCACATTGGGCCTCTGCTTCAGAAGGAGCCTGTGAAAACAAAAAACACAGCTCTGTAGAACGAATTTAGCTTCTAAACCCAAAACTGAAAATCTCACACTCAAATAATGGACACTCACATCAATCACAGGCACCCCCATAAGTCTTAAAAGTTGTTTACAGTCTTCATTATGCTGCCTTGTGACCTGGAAACAGTTGAGAGAAATGAAGCAACAACTCACTTTGGCACAGTTTTATTTTATCCTGGTCTTCTATTTTTATATCATAACTAAACATCCAGAAATAAATGCTGAAGAAAACAGTGTGCTATCTTATCGGGAGAAAATGGATGAGAAAATAACTTACTTTTACTGTCCGCTTGCTGAATTTTTCAATATCCTCCTGATTTCCACTCTAATAATAAAATAATAGCAAATTAATTTTCCTTAGTGGTGGATCAACAAAAGGAACTTTACTTATCACTCTGCATGTGACTGAAGGGAAGATACCTCCATGGCTTCTTGCAAATCCGCAGAAGCATCTACCCTCTTTGAGTAACTACATAACAAATTTTGAATAAAATCATGGAAAAGCGGCATTCTACTCATTAAGTTTCAGCAATATTGAAGGGGGGAAGCAATAAAGAATTTGTATCAATTGCAACAAAGTACCGCTTAGCCAGCTCTTGTTTTTTCAAATCAGGAGGCTGCCCATCAAAAACATAGCTGAAAGAAAATACCACAAGCATTAGCACAAAACAAAAAGCCTGTGGGATGTAGCAGCATTACGCACATGATGTGTGTGAGTTAAAATGGCTGACTAATTGACTTCTTTCTAAATAAATGGAAAAGAAAAGGAGAAGAAACACATTACACAGGTTTAATCCCAGCTTCAAGAAGCCGAATTGTGCGAGTAAACATGCCTTGCAGATGACTAAGGATTAAGCAAGTAGAGCCCATGTCAATATTTTATGAACTAACTAATATTCGACATGAAGAGTGGAAATGTAATTGAAAAGGGAACAGCTAACCATAATTCTGTAAAAAATAATAAATGCAGAGAATTAATGAATGAAGAGAAAAAATATATATTAAAAACCTGGTAACTTCACCAGCTTCATTGGTGAGCGTTTCAGTCCCAATGCGACCCACCACAATCTACAGTCAACCCAAAATTTAAAAGGGAAAAAAATACATTATTAGCTAGTCATAGCCCTCGAATGCCAATAAAATAGAAAGCTTCGGGTTTTTTTTTTAAATAAAAATTGAGGGGACAATAAACGAACGAGAAACTGGTAAATGCTCATGCTAGCGTCGATGGCAATCTTGCGACCAAAATAGCTTTCTAATTTCTGTTCCTTCATGGCCTTTGGTGCATTGTCAGCCAGAAGCTTCGTTAAACCCTAATGATTAAATTTAAAATCCGAAACATGGATCAATTTTCTAGCAAAGAAAAACCCCAAATTTATTTAGTTAAAAAAATGTTCAGAAACGCTTGAAAAAAAAACGCACCTTAATGCCCATTGTTCGTTGAGAAAAGAGGAAGAGCAGTGGCTACCGCCGGTAGGATTTTCTTTTGATTCCTTCACTAGGATTAGTATTTCCCGCCTTTCAGAACTACTATTATACTATTACTCGATTTTTCAGGGGAAAAGAATGAGAAAGACCCAATACATTTTAAGGATAAACTATCTATTTTGTCACTCACCTATTATTAAATTTATATTTTAGTCTTATTTTTAAGATTGTATCTAGGGAAAAACCCGAACCCGACAGGAAAAATTGAAAACTGAATTAAACGGGGACGGGAAAAAACCATTTATGCTAAACGGGGATGGGGAAAAACTGTTTATATTAAATGGGGACGGGAACGGGTTTAGTAATCCCCGCCCCGATTACTCGATTACCAGACCCAATACCCGACCCGATAAATATTAAAAATAATTATATATATATATATATATATATATATATATATATATATAATATTAATAAATTTAATTTAATTTAAAAATATATATATAATATTTATATATTTAATTTAAATATATATACCCGACCCTATACCCGTTTAAATAACAGTTTATGCTAAACGGGGATACCAATTTTCCTGCGATTTTCCCGATTACCCGATGGGGATCCCCGTTTAAATCCCTGCGGGTTTTTAAGCGGGGACGAGTACGAGTTTTTTAAACGAGAATGGGGACGTGGGACCAATACCCTGCCCGAACCCGACCCGTTACCATCCCTAATTGTATCTAATGTTTTATCTCTCTTTTTCACTTTAAGTATCTAAAATATTCGTTTGTCAAGATAGGTACCAAACATTTCTAATACTATTATTTTAAGTATTTAGTCTGTGACGATTGTTAAAAAAAATCGTCAATCGTTAAAAGATTTTAAATTTTTTATTTAAATAAACACTTAAAATTACTATTTAAAAAACATCAAACCCCTAAAATCATTAATTTCAAACCTCTCGTTATATCATCATTCATTTTCGGTCGTTACCACTATTGTCGAACGGTCACTCACTCATTACCGATCAATCAATGATCAGTAATTATCCTTGTCGTCACTCCAAATCATTAAATCTTTAAATTCCTAACATCCAATTCTATATCCATAATTCCTAAATTCTCTTATCATCATCGGCATAAAAACAATAATTGCTTCAACAATTGTTTAAATCTACCAATCGTCGCTGGCAGAGCAACTATAATTGCTAGAACAATTATTTCGTAGCAGTAGTTTACATTACAAGGGGCTTATACGTGGTGGGGGGGGTGTTAGTGAGAGTTAACTTAGTTTAAAAAAAAAATCGTCAACTATCATTTTAGTTGATCCGACAAGTGATTCGATATTTTCATTGGAGACAAAACAGGTTAACTTAGAGTGATGGGTTAAATGGGAATTGATGCAAATACTAGTTGTGGGGAAGTTAATAATGTGACAAAACGGTGGGGCTTAGGTGCCTTTGCCGTGAAGATTTTGACGATGAAGGATCCAAAGAGGATGATGATTGTAAATGATGGAAGGTTGTTCTTCTAGTTGTAACTATCATATAAATTCGAAATAATAAATTATTAATTGGTGAAAATTACAATTAATAAAAGAAGATAATCCTCCTTGTCGGGAAATGCTCACGTGCGACACCTTAATATACGGCTAAAATAAGGCGCTATATATTTTGTTATTTAAAAAATAACAAAATCGATGAAAAATGACAAAAAATATTATTATTTTTACCGGTTCTAATTACCGATATAAGTAAACACGGTAGAAAAAATTCAATCAAAAAAATAATGTTTTAGATAGCGCTTTACCGAAAACATTATTTTTTACCGGATTTTTCTACCGATATTACATATATCGATAATTGATATTAATAATAAAATCAGTAAAAATAATAATGTTTTCGGTCAATTTTTACCGGTTTTATTATTTAAAATAATAACAAAATCGATAACACCTTTTTTTAGCTGTATATTAGGCTGCCGCACCGTAAAACTTCCCTTTGCGAAGTCGGTACTCATAGGAACAACACATAGTGAGGGGTTTCAATGTACGAGTCGAGTATTTTGTGAATGATTCTTGAACGTCAGACAGAAGTGATCAGTGATGAGAAAGATGAACAACGAGAAGCCTAGGGATGAATGGGGTGCGACATAAATTGTGGGAAAACTTGGGTTTTGAAAGAGGTGAAAAACATATTAAAAAAGGATAAATTTTCTCCCTAAATTATTTTAGATTTACAAAAAAAATTCATAATTAGTTTTTTTTATCATTATTTTACTAAACGTATTACGTTATCAAACTAACGACAATTAACATCTCAATGATCAAAACTTAACTTTTTAAAATTTAGTAAATAAATTATACAAATTTTAAAGTTTTCTCTTAATATTTCTTCGTATTTTTGTGTTTAATACTTTTTTATTTATATAAAAGTTTTTTTGGTGATTATTGTCCTCATTTTTCTTTGAGTGTGTTATAATTTTAATTCATTCTATTATTTTATTAATGAATGAAATTATAATTATTAAAAAATTACAAATATTAAAAGTAAGTAATCACTTAAATAAATTATCCTAGTAGAGCTTGTTAATGTAAAAATCTTTGGTAATCACAATACCTAAAATTTGAATGTCAAATGAAATAAAAATATTTGTATATGGTGGAATTGAATCGGGTATTTACAGTCAATAATCATGTGGAAACTCATATGATCAGCGGTGGAGCCTGAGAGTAGATACGTGTCCATTTTAAAATCTGAATTTTCTTCGATTAATTAATGATGATGTCTATCATGAAATTTTATTTATGCCCACTCCATCCAAAACAAAAAATTTGTGTTTTAACATATGTTTGTATGCTCTAAAAAATATTTCTAAATTCGTTACTGCATATAAAGAAAAATAACAATTCTCTAATGGGGTCGGATATGCTTAAAATTCAATTAATGATTATTTTTATTTTAAAATTTTCAATTCGAGTCATTATAAGTTTTGACCATTTTAATTATAAGTTATTTTAAATTTTGGGTCTGAGCATTAGTTCATTCAAATTTTGATTAAAATTTTCGAATCATAATTTTTTTAAATCTAATCAGTTTTGTAGTTCAAATCAAAGTAAACACTCAATTTCTTTTTCTATAGAAACCGCTAATTTTATTAAAAAAAATAAAATATTCATAATTATAATAAAAGTTTACGATCATAAACGTAAGTTAAATATATAATTATGATATTTTACTAAAATCATTGACACAAAAACTAATTATTTAAGATCACACGAGAAAAAGGTTAAAAACCTAATAAAAGTTTAAACAAAACAACAACAACAACAACAACAACAACAAAACCCTATTCTCATATTCAACGGGGTAAGGGGGAGTTAGGTTAGTAGGTTGTCCCCCAACGCCAGGTTGAGAGCAACTTCCGTGGAAGACATCCGGCAGTCAAAAAATTAAAAATAAAGATAAAATGCAATGCATGTTTAAATAAATAAATAAAATACGTAGTTGAACAATCTTCATATGCAGTCTTCATATGCACGTCTGTAATGGGAAGTAATCCCTGCAAATAAACCCATGCGTAAAAATATCTGCATATAGACAGAAACGTAAGACACAGACAAAATTATAAAGAGGAAACATGAAGAGCAGTATACACAGAATTCAACGATAGCAGGCTTCAAGAAGGGATAAAGTCAAATGGGTTAAAACCTAAACTAAGACAACACTACTCTGCTACCATAGTTCTAAGCCTTCATAAATTCCAATGACAGAAACGTATAAAAAGTATAAGTAATGAAATTACTACAAAGGCATTAAAAGAAGACAAAGATGATACACCCAATAGATGTGACTCGCCCTACTCGGCTACCTTGGTCTTAAGTCGTCATAATTTCTTATCAGAGGTCATGTCCTCGGGTAAGGGCTAAATCATTCAAATCAGATCTCAAGCAGTCTTCTCACTTCCGCCTTTGTCGACCTCTCCTTCTGGTACCGTCGACTGTAATCGACTCTACCCTCCTAACCGCATCCGATGGTTGTCGTAATTGGACATGCCCAAACCACCGTAGTCTTCTCTCCCTCAATTTTTCGGATACAAGCACCACCCCCAAGGACATCCTAATAGCAGAGTTTGGTGTCATGTCCCATAGAGTCCTACCACATACCCATCGAAGCATTCTCATTTCTGCGGCCTCCATCTTCCTTAGGTGACCCTTCTTGATAGCCCAATATTCTGATCCATACAGCAGCGCTGGTTTTATTGTCATTCTATAAAAATTTCCCTTAAGTTTTAGAGATACATTATTGTCACATAAAAATCCAGTAGCAACCCTCCACTTTAGCCATCATGCCTTTATACGGTGTGAAACGTCTTCATCTACACCCCCATCTTTACGTATCATAGACCCTAGGTACTTGAAACAATCATTTGAGGGGAGAATGTGTCATTCAATGCATATTTCTACATCTTTATCGTTTTGGTTCCCACTGAAGTTTGAACATAAATACTCTGTCTTTTCAATATTGATCCTTAGATACAAACATATATGATCGTATCGACAAACGAACCACAAAAAAATATCAAATTTCTAAAAAATCAATGATATACCATAAATTAAAATCGAAATATATAACAAAATTATTCACGAACATAAATCATGTATCATTTACTAATTCACTGCTAACTCACACATAGTAAAAATCATAATTAAGAGATGGACTAAATTTATTTTTAAGTAGATACAAAACAAAATTAAAATACATAAAGAAAAACCCACACAAAGTAAAAAATTAACATGATCTTAACGTTTACTAACTCCGTCAAGTGTACATCTTTATTTTACCGTACATTTTGACTATACTTTGTACATACATCATATAGGGTTTGCATTTGGTTGTGTAATGTTACTCGATTTTTATTCAATTTAAATAATTAAACAAATTTAAAATTACATTGAATTGCTGCTGATATATGTTCTCTGGTCTCTCCCGATCTTCTGCGGAAGCTCCTCCATCGGATACGGCTATCTGCGATTCCTCCGTCAGATCAAAGGCCTTTCCAGTGAGTCGATTTAAACCTGTCTTTT